TATATATATACATTACATACAGTATTGGTCTCTCAGGCCCCAAATGTTAGTAGGAATAGAAAAAAATTGGAAAAGAAAAGAAAAAAATGTAAAAACCGCAAAATAATGTAATGCGCGTATGTGGAATTCGTCGATGTTGCCGCCACCACATCATTTTTGACAAACTTCTTGGCACTGTATCTCGGTAAGTACTGATCAGATTTTTTTTTTTTTGTCTTATTACCTTCACAAAAATATGCTCTTTAATTCTGTAAAAAAAATTTTTTTTTTTTTTTCAAAATTTCTTGGACACTGGAGCACCACTTCAGATTTTGGCCTTGGACCCTGAAGGGATTAACCCTTTCACTGTCGGGACACTTGCTCTCAGTGTCGAAGAATTTAAAATAAAAAAAAATCTCATGAAATGATGAAGAATCTTTTCCCAATGGTAATGACACCAAAAGTATGAAATTTGATGGAAAACATGACTCACGAAATCGTAATGACACGATTGCAAACAAACCATACCCCGGCCGGGATTGACCCCGCGGTAAGAGTGTCTCAAAACTCCAGATCGTCGCGTTAGCCACTAGACCAGCTAGCCACAATAAGATTCGTCCAACTAGGTATATTTCTACACCATAGGAAGGTTAGCATAGGCACCACTGTGACCACAAATGCAAGTTTTTACAGACGAATCTCCAGCTAGCGTGGCCGTGACGAACTCTAGCTCAAGTCCCCTCACTGCCATCAACATGACTCACGAAATCGTAATGACAAGATTGCAAACAAACCATACCCTGGCCGGGATTGAACCCGTGGTCAGAGAGTCTCAAAACCCCAGACCGTCATGTTAGCTAGCTGGCTGGTCTAGTGGCTAACGCGACGGTCTGGAGTTTTGAGACTCTCTGACTGCGGGTTCAATCCCGGCCGGGGTATGGTTTGTTTGCAATCGTATCATTACGATTTCGTGAGTCATGTTGACGGCAGTGAGGGGACTTGAGCTAGAGTTCGTCACGGCCACGCTAGCTGGAGATTCATCTGCAAAAACTTGCATTTGTGGTCATAGTGGTGCCTGTGCTAACCTTCCTATGGTGGAGAAATATACCTAGTTGGATGAATCTTATTGTGGCTAGCTGGTCTAGTGGCTAACGCGACAGTCTGAAGTTTTGAGACTCTCTGACCGCGGGTTCAATCCCGGCTGGGGTATGGTTTGATGGAAAACTTATGGAATTATGCTCTCGTGAAGTTACCAGTCTTAGAGATATTTACGCATCAGCAATTTCACCCACTTTAACCCTTTCAGGGTCCACAGGCCCTCTCAGAGACTTATTCTCAGGGTCCTCCAAATTTAAAAAAAAAAAAAAAAAAAAAAAAAAAAAAAAAAAAAAAGTCTCATGAAAAGATAGAATTTTTCCCGATCATAATGACACCAAAAGTATGAAATTTGATGGAAAACTTATAGAATTATCCTCTCGCGATAGTCTCGACAATGTTTACGCATCGGCGATTTTGCCCACTTGGAGCCCTATTTTCAGTCAATTCCAGTGTACTAGTCAACAAAAATAACTACAGTGGTCCCTCGTTTTTCGTAATTAATCCGTTCCTGGAGCCGTTACTATAAACGAAATTTACGATTTGCGAATCAATTTTCCCCATAAAAAATAATGTAAATACAATTAATCCGTTCCTGACACCCAGAAATATTAAAACAAAAAATTTTTTTACATGAAATATACATGTAGTACATAAACAATACAATGGGAAATGATGAATGAAACATTAACAGCTTAACACTTACCTTTATTGGAGATTCTTCTTAGTGTATAGGAGACTGGAGGAGGAGAGAGATTGGATTGTTTACAGTTTGGAAGGGGAATCCCCTTCCAGCAACACCTCAGGTACCAATTGCTTCTCTGGGGTTGCTTCTCTTCTCTGTTTCTTAATGCCACTAGGACCACCTTGAGAGTCACTCTAGTCCTGTCTCGCAAAGTAACTGTGGAGAGAGCTCTGTTTCTGGCGTCTCTTTAACACTTCCCTAAAATATCCCAAGACTTTGTCACTGTACATATTTCTCACCTTCTTTATCACAGGCTTGGCACTAGGAGCTTTCTTTGGAGCCATGGCAGCTTATTTAATACTTGCAAGCACTAAAATGAGTGGAATATTATGAAATATTTCGTAGGAGCACTTGAGGGGACCTTCACTCACTGGTAAACAATGCCAGACTGGCTGGGTAGGGAGGCCGCCCCGGCTCACACCGTGCATATGAGTCCCGGACGAACTACTATTCGCGAGTCAACCTATGAAAAGCGAGTCCATGTTTATACGAAAATACCCCTATGATTGGCGAAATTTACGATTGCCGAGAACTACGAAAAGCGAGGGACCACTGTATTTCGCTAGAACTCCATTTTTTCTATCGAATGAGTACAAGAAACCACCCATTTACTTATTTCAACTATCCAATACAGTGGTCAGAATTTAGCAATTTTGCCAATTTCACACAAATTTCAAAAGATGCCAATTTCCAAATAGGGTCCAGAGTAAACAAGAAAGACATTCCTGGCACTAAAATAACATTTCCTCTGTTCATTAGTCATGTCCCCAGGCCCCTCTTACATTCTTTTGCTTTCCATTTAGAATTTTTATTCTCACAAAAAATAGAAGATTTACTGTTATGCAGACTACTGCATTAGTGTAGAAATGGTATAAATAATATTGGCGCACTTGTGAAAGAATATTAAGACTCGCCAGTTGACATGTATTGGATGCTTAGCATGATTTGTTTACTTTTGAACTTTGGTAAAAATCAAACATTTCTGTTTCTTTGAGCTCAATTTCAAGGTACTTTTCATTGTAAAATCAGTCAAAATCATCTCAATTTCTGTAATATGTCTTCCATTCTATCAAATGAGATCAGGAAAACTAGAATACAACAATAAATACCATACAAAAATACAGTGCAATTTGCTGTTTTAATCCAAAAACACGGTCAGTTTTTTTTTTTCTCATTACGCACTGTGTACTGCAGGATTTTTTTTTATACTGCACACACTGACCACATAGACCCATTCTTTCACATGTAGGCCTACCAGCTTTCACTAGATTTGAAGGCGCTAGAATTTATGAGTACTAGTACGTCAAGGACCCTGGCACGTAAGCCATACTAGTACGGCCGAAACCCTGAAAGGGTTAAACCGTATTCTCAACCAATTCCATTGTTCCAGTTGACCAAACTTATGGCTGTTTTGCTAGAATTCCATTTGTTCTATTAAGTGTGTACAAGAAACCCCTCATATACCAATTTCAACTACCCAATAAAGTAATCAGAAATTGGTAATTTGGCTAATTACATACATAATTTAAGTAGGGCCAATTTCAAAATAGGGTCCAGAATTAACAATACAAACATTCCTAGCACTAAAATAACATTTTCTCTGTTCGTTAGTCATGTCTCCAGGCTCCTCTCACATTATGCTTGCTTTCAATTTTGAATTTTTATTCATGCAAAAAATAGAAGACTTACTGTTATGCAGACTACTGCATTATTGTAAAAATGGTATGAACAATATCAGCACATTTGTGAAAGCATATTAGATCCACCAGTTGACATGTATTGGACGCATGACGTGATTTGTTCACTATTGAACATCAGCAAAAATTGAGCTCAATTTCAAGGTATTTTTTAGTCAGAAAACCATACAAAATCATCACTATTTCTGTAATGTATCTTCCATTCTATCAAATGAGACCAAGAAAACGAGAATACAACTATAAATACCATACGAAAATACACCGCAAAGCCGGTGTTTTAAACCAAAAACACTGTTGGAGTTTTTTTTTTCGTTATGCACTGCATGCTGCAGGATTTTTTTTATACTGTGCACACTGACCACTCGGACCCATTCTCTCATAAGTAGGCCTACCAGCTTTCCCCCGTAAGATTGGAAGCTGCTAGAATTTTGGCGTAGGACTACGGCACTGACACTGGCTTGCAAACCGTAATATTATGGGACTGACAGTGAAAGGGTTAAAGTCAAGTCATAAAAACTCTCATCTCTACTCGCTCCTATCTGTTTAACATGCTCATGTATGCTTGCTGGAAGTCCAAGCCCTTCACTCACAAAATGTCCTTTACCCCCCTCCCTCCAACTTTTCCTAGGCTGACTCCAACCCTGCCTCCCCTCCACTATAGATTTATACGCTCTCGAAGTCACTATTTTCTTCCATTCTCTCCAAATGTTCGAACCACCTCAACAACCCCTCCTCAGCCATCTGGATAATGATTTTAGTAACCCTGAACCTCCTGATTTCCAAACTATGGATTCTCTGCATTATATTCACACTGAAACATTCACCACCCATATAAGAGCACTGATATAACTATACTCTCATACATTCCACTCCTTTCTTACATGGATAACGTTCTTTGTCTCCAGAGACTCCATAGTGCACCAATTACCTTTTTCCCCTCATCAATTCTGATTCATCTGTCTGTCATAGACCCATCTGCTAACACGTCCACTCCTAAATATCTGAATACATTCACTTTTTCCATCCTCCCTCCCTCCAATCTGATATCCAATCTTTCATTACTTAAATTTTGTGTTATCCTCATCACCTTACTTTTTCATATGTTCACTTTTAATTTCCTTTTACGTACCCTTCGAAACTTGATCACCAACCTCTGCAACTACTCTTCAGAATCACCCAAAAGCAGTGTGTCAACAGCAAAAAGCAACTGTAACAACTCCCACTTCATGTTAGACTCTACCTTTTAATCCTACACCTCTTACAAAAACTCAGGCATATTAAGGTCATTATAAAATATTTCTTTTAACCCAACCTATTATTATGCAACTTGTACTGTTAGCACCATTTACAAAAATGCATCCACACACATTCCAATCACCCTGCTGACCAAGAAAGATGCTGTATTGTAAAACTCGAGCAACATACAAGGACACTGAGAAAACAACGAATATTACAATGATAAAAGTTTATAAACACTATCTTACCTAAATCCTAGCCTTGAGGATTCATTGTCAAATTCTTCTAGTTCTCGAGCCTGTTTCTCCTGCATTAGTCTAATTCGCTCGTGCCGTTCGTGCTGGAATCTTGCAGTTTCCTCTTGCATCTGCAAAATATTCCACATTAAATGAAATGTCTTTTTATATACCAATCTTACAGTAATAAGACAATGTTTAGTCTCCACAGCATTCACCAAGTCTAATTTAGCCCCAACATTTCTCCAAACACACCTGTTGTTAACAAAACTATCAATAATTGTGTCTGATAGTGACCCTTAGACCCAAGAATAGATTGACTTGGAAACATCTTCCAGCATGATAGCAGGGCCAAGATAGCTAGGACTGAAGACTCAATAGTCCTAGCTCACCATGATGTATAATACCTTCTGCTGTAGTAAGGTTCTCCTGAGTGCAACTCTCTCGTCTAGCTCTCTCTTTTCACGGTTGCGTTGAGCTTCAGCTTGCTGCCGATTACGAGTTTGGTATTCAGCTAACATCTCCAATTCTCTTTCTAGTTTCTCTGTCAACTTCTGTTGTTCCACTACCTGTAACATGAATGCTTTTAGCATGTGAAAATAAACAGAGTTAAGCAATTCGTCCTCAAGTTTATGATGAATAACTTGTGTACACAGCCTCTCCTCACTGAGTGACGTACTTGTTTACTGACGACTCAGACTTACGACGGGCTTTCTGACCAGTATGCATACCTAAATAATGTATATCAGAGCTGATTTCCTCTACTCTGTTTATTACAATATACAGTACACTACTGTATAAACATTTCAAAATATACCAGAAATATTATAAATGGTGCAAAGGTGACAATAAAAAATACCAAAGATGGTTGACACAAACCCACTACCATTATAGTATGCTCCTTACTTAGCAACGAATTTATTTACCGATGTGGTCATAGGAATGGAACTTGGTCATTAACTGAGGAGAGGCTGTATTATAATCTTGAAGAGCAACATTGCAAATTCACACTATCATGTTCAACTATAATATTCCAACAAATATTTCAAAACACTTAATATTGGAGAAATACAATGATTCAAGAAAAACTAGTATATAATACCTACTTGACTTTCATCCAATCGCAGCGACTGTCTCTGAAGCATCTCTGCAATGGATTGTTCATACTGGTCACCAAGCATAGCTAACTTTCGCCGCTGATCTTCTTTTAATCTCTTGATGATAGCTCGCTGATCCTCTTTTGGTGTTTTGGCTAAAATTTGTGCCTTATACTCTTTATATTGCTGACGTTGTATATTGATTGTATCACGGAACTGACGACGAATCTCTATTTCTTTTTGCTGTAAATGAATTTGCACTTGTAAATGTATTCGCGAGTTTTTAATGCTGAAAAAATATTAAAAAGTATAACAAATTTAGTTATTTATACAACAATATCTCTTAATAATTATTACAACAGTTCCCCCATATCCACAGGGTATATGCTTCAAGACCTGCCACAGATACCCAAAACTATAGATGGTAGTGAACCCAATGCAGTAGGGCCCTGCTTGTATGGCAGGTTAGGTTCCAGGCTACTACCACTGTCAAGCAAAAATCACCCTTTCACTTAAATGCATATACACGTAAATGCCTGATAACATGTTTACACTACAGTGGAACCCTGGTTATCGGTTCTGTTATTGGCCAACTCGGTGATCGGCTGTTTTTTTGGCACCCGGTTATTAGCCGTTAATTCAATGATCGGCCATTTGGAATGCGTTTGTCCGCCGGCCCCAGCTGCTCGTGCGTCAGTTTGGCCGTGTCTCTGGGCGAGTGAGGAAGCTACTGCTCATTCATCCAAACATTTTGCTATAATCCATTGTTTTTTGTGGTCATTGATAGAGTGCAACTGCAAAACAAGCAACCATGGGCCCAAAGAAACACATTACATAGCATATAAACACGTTAGTGTTTATAAGCGATATATATTTAACCCTTTGACTGTTTCGGTCGTATATATACGTCTTACGAGGTACCGTATTTGACGTATATACAGTGGACCCCCGCATACCGTACGCATCGCATACCGTACAATCCACATACCGGACGCTTTGATCGCAAAAATTTTGCCTCGCATACCGCCCAAAAACCCGCTCACCGCCCTTCGTCCGAGACGCGTCCAATGTGCGGCCTGAGCCACGCTCGCATGTTCCGCCGGTGGCATTGTTTACCAGCCAGCCTCCGCGGTAACATCCAAGCATACAATCGGAACATTTCGTATTATTACAGTGTTTTTGGTGATTTTTTTCTGGAAAATAAGTGACCATGGGCCCCAAGAAAGCTTCTAGTGCCAACCCTACAGCAATAAGGGTGAGAATTACTATAGAGATGAAGAAAAAGATCATTGATAAGTATGAAAGTGGAGTGCGTGTCTCCGAGCTGGCCAGGTTGTATAATAAACGCCAATCAACCATCGCTACTATTGGTGGTACAGCTGCTGCTGCACTGTCAGCTGCTGCTGCACTGTCAGCTGCTGCTGCTGTTGTACCACCGTCAGCTGCTGCTGCTGCTGTAGTACCGTCTGCTGCTGCTGTAGCATCGTCTGCTGCTGCTGTAGCATCGTCTGCTGCTGCTGTAGCATCGTCTGCTGCTGCTGCTGTAGCATCGTCTGCTGCTGCTGCTGTAGCATCGTCTGCTGCTGCTGTAGCATCGTCTGCTGCTGCTGTAGCATCGTCTGCTACTGCTGTACCACCGTCAGCTGCTGCTGCACTGTCAGCTGCTGCTGCTGCTGTACCACCGTCAGCTGCTGCTGCTGCTGTAGTACCGTCTGCTGCTGCTGTAGCATCGTCTGCTGCTGCTGTAGCATCGTCTGCTGCTGCTGTAGCATCGTCTGCTGCTGCTGTAGCATCGTCTGCTGCTGCTGTAGCATCGTCTGTTGCTGCTGTAGCATCGTCTGCTGCAACATCGTCTGCTGCTGCTGTAGCATCGTCTGTTGCTGCTGTAGCATCGTCTGCTGCTGCTGTAGCATCGTCTGTTGCTGCTGTACCACCGTCAGCTGCTGCTGCTGCTGCTGTAGCACCGTTGTTGGTGTGGCTTATTGAGAATACCAAGAAACAATTAACCCCAGAGGATTTGCCACCCAGGATAACCCAAAAAAGTCAGTGTCATCGAAGACTGTCTAACTTATTTCCATTGGGGTCCTTAATCTTGTCTCCCAGGATGCAACCCACACCAGTCGACTAACACCCAGGTGAACAGGGAAAAATGCCTGGAACTAGTGCTCATATTGGTGAATTTAAAGCCAGCAAAGGTTGGTTTGAGAGATTTAAGAATCGTAGTGGCATACAGTGTGATAAGGCCTGCTCTGGAAGAAAATGCCAAACAGGACCTACAGTACTCAGGAGGAAAAGGCACTCCCAGGACACAGTGTCTCATCAGTCATTGCTGCATCTTCAATAAAGGTAAGTGTCATTTATTCTTCATTTAGTATAGTAGTACATGCACAATATATATTGTGCATGTACTACTCTACTATTGTGCATGTATCCTTCTCTTTGTGTGTAGGAAAATGTATATTTCATGTGGTAAAAAAAATATTTTCATACTTTTGGGTGTCTTGCACGGATTAATTTGATTTGAATTATTTCTTATGGAGAAAATTCATTCGCATACCGAACATTTCGCATAACAACCAGCCCTCTTGCACGGATTAAGGTCGCTATGCGGGGGTCCACTGTATACTCATAAATTCTAGCGGCTTCAAATCAAGCAGGAGAAAGCTGGTAGGCCCACATATGAGAGAATGGGTCTATGTGGTCAGTGTGCACCATATAAAAAAATCCTGGAGCACGCAGTGCATAACGAGAAAAAAAACTCCAACCGTTTTTTTTAATTAATATGCCGAATTTGTGGTCTATTTTCATATAGTATTTATGGTTATATTCTCGTTTTCTTGGTCTCATTTGATAGAATGGAAAACATATTATAGAAATAGAGGTGATTTTGATTGGTTTTACTATAAAAAGAACCTGGAAATGGAGCTCAAAGTAGGGGAAATGTTTGATTTTTGATGATGTTCAAAAGTAAACAAATTATGTCTTTGTCCAATAAATGTCCAACTAGCCATTCTAATATCCAGTTATGAATGGGTTGACATTATATGTACAATTATTACAGTGTTGCAGTAGTCTGCATAACAGTAAATCTTCTATTTTTTGTTTGAATAAAAATTCAAAATAGAAAGCAAGAGTAATATCAGAGGGGCCTGGAGACAAGGCTGATGAACAAAGAAACTGTTATTTTAGAGCCAGGAATGTCTGCATTGTTCATTCTGGACCCTATTTTGAATTGTCATATTTTTTAATTTTTGTGAAAATGGCCAAATTGCAAATTTCTGGCCAAGTTATTGGGTAGTTGAAATCGGTAAATGGGCAGTTTCTTGTACTCAATTGATAGAAAAAATGGAGTTCTAAAGAAATAGCTATGAATTTGGTCGACTAGAACAATGGAATTAGCCGAAAATAGGGCTCAAAGTGGGTGAAATCGCCGATTTGTAAATATCGCTGAGGTCGCTAACTTTGCGAGAACGTAATTCCGTCAGTTATCCATCAAATTTCGTTTTTTTTTTTTTGGTGTTTTTACAATAGGGAAATGATTCTCTCATTTCATGAGAATTTTTTTTTTTTTTTTTGAAATTTTGCGACACCAGGAGACACCTCAGGATTGGGGGTTGCACAGTCAAGGGGTTAATAATAATCACTGATACATGAAATGTCTTATTTTACGTTAATATAGACATTTTCATTAATCCATCTATGATATTTTCTTCAAAATTATACAAGAAACACGTTACATATCATGTAGCATATAAACATAGCACATAAATGCGCAATGTTTATATGTTATCGAGTGGAGAGTCAGATGGAGAGTAAACATTACATTTTCTATGATGCAGGGTTAGAGAAAACTGTGAATCTGGTGACTGGTGCAGTAACCGCCCTTCATATGCGTTTGTTTACAATTCTCGGCATGAATTATTCATTACTTCTCCCTTTGTTTATGATGGCATCTAAAGGTTGTTGTTAGAAACAATTAAACCCAGTGAACATGGTAATAATATGGCTATGTAGTGTAATAATATAGCTGTGTAGTGTAGCCCGGGGGGGACGGGGGCTACATACATGTACTGTACCTTTATCTACCACTACCTACACTGACTTCCTACAAATTAATACTACTTACCTCTTGCCCTACATTAAGACTACAAATATTTTAAGGTAAGTAATGAATGTACTGTAGCAGTAAATGACAGACTAAAGAGGTGTGTGCAATGTGGACTAGGGTGCAAGCTTTTGTAGAGAAACACCACCCTGACCAAGCTTAAACAAGCCATATCTGCAACACGTTCAGTGACAAAACCTTGTCCCACTTCAGGGAAATCTTAAGAGAGATGCCAGAAACAGACCTCTATGGACAGATTTGTTGTGAGACAGGGGTTCAGTGACTCTAAAGCTGGTCCTAGTGGCATTAAAAGACAAAGAAGCAAAGTAATCCCAGAGAACGCTTTGCTACCTAAAATCTTTATGGAGAGGGATTCCCTTTCCAAACAGTAACTCCTCCCTCTTTCCTCTTCCCTATCTTCCAGAAGCCAACATTAGCCTTCGATAAAGGTATGTAATACTTACATAATTGTTAAAAAAAAATTTTTTTTTTGAATATTTTTGTCTGGAATGGATTAATTGTATTTCCATTAATTCTTATGGGAAATATTAATTTGGTTTTCGGCTGACCTGGAACAGATTACAACTGATAACTGAGGGTCCACTGTATCATATATTAAGTTAGCATTAAAAAAAACAATAAAAAAGTAAAATGCACATATAGTACACTCATTACTTACCTTACAATATTTGAAGTCTTAATGTAGGGTGAGAGGCAAGTAGTATTTATTGTAGGAAGTCAGGTGTGGTAGCCCACCTGGCTACCACACCTCACAATTATGTTTGTTTTACTACGACTGTATATTATTTTTTTTTATTAACACATTGGTAGTAGGTTGGTAGACAGCAACCACCCAGGGAGGTACTACCATCCTGCCAAGTGAGTATAAAACAAAAGCCTGTAACTGTTTTACATGATGGTAGGATTGCTGGTGTCTTTTGTCTGTCTCATAAATATGCAAGATTACAGGTACGTCTTGCTACTTCTACTTAAACTCAGGTCACATTATACATACATGTACACATTTATACACACTCATCTGAGTTTTGTTTGATTTTATCTTAATAGTTCTTGTTCTTATTACTTTTCCTTTTATATCCATAGGGAAGTGGAATAAGAATCATTCCTCCGTAAGCCA